AAATTATAATTTTTTTAGTTTTGGCCTCGAGCTCTAGGGGTACCATCACATTTTTTGGCCAAAATTAAAATTCATTAAAAAATTATCCAAATTTGACACGGATATTTATATTTGCATGTAAAATCCTTTTTAAAAGTTTCATGTCAAATAGACTTGTCAGTAATGTATAAATTATAATTTTTTTAGTTTTGGCCTCGAGATCTAGGGCTAACATCACATTTTTTTGCTAAATTTTAAATCCATTAAAAAATTTGCCAAATTTGACATGTATATTTATATTTGCATGTAAAATCCTTTGTAAAAGTTTCATGTCAAAAAGACTTGTCAGTAATGTCTAAATTTCAATTTTTTTAGTTTTTGCCTCGAGCTCTAGGGGTACCATCACATTTTTGGGCCAAATTTTAAATTAATCAAAAAATTATCCAAATTTGACAAAGATATTTATATTTGCATGTAAAATCCTTTGTAAAAGTTTCATGTCGAATAGACTTGTCAGTAATGTCTAAATTTTAATTTTTTTAGTTTTGGCCTCGAGCTCTAGAGGTACCATCACATTTTTTGGCCAAATTTTAAATTCATCAAAAAATTATCCAAATTTGACACGGATATTTATATTTGCATGTAAAATCCTTTGTAAAAGTTTCATGTCAAAAAGAGTTGTCCGTAATGTCTAAATTTATAATTTTTTTAGTTTTGGCCTCTAGTTCTAGGGGTACCATCATATTTTTTGGCCAAATTTTAAATTCATCAAAAAATTATCCAAATTTGACACGGATATTTATATTTGCATGTAAAATCCTTTGTAAAAGTTTCATCTCAAATAGACTTGTCAGTAATGTATAAATTATAATTTTTTTAGTTTTGGCCTCGAGTTCTAGGGGTAACATCACATTTTTTGGCTAAATTTTAAATCCACTAAAAAATTTGCCAAATTTGAAATGGATATTTATATTTGCATGTAAAATCTTTTGTAAAAGTTTCATGTCAAAAAGACTTGTCAGTATTTTCTAAATTTCATTTTTTTTAGTTTTGGCCTCGAGCTCTAGGGGTACCATAACATTTTTTGGCCAAATTTTAAATTCATCAAAAAATTATCTAAATTTGACACAGATATTTATATTTGCATGTAAAATCCTTTGTAAAAGTTTCATGTCAAATAGACTTGTCAGTAATGTAAAAATTATAATTTTTTTAGTTTTGGCCTCGAGCTCTAGGGGTAACATCACATTTTTTGGCTAAATTTTTAATCCATTAAAATATTTGCCAAATTTGACATGGATATTTATATTTTCATGTAAAATCGTTTGTAAAATTTTCATGTCAAAAAGACTTGTCGGTAATGTCTAAATTTCAATATTTTTAGTTTTGGCCTCGAGTTCTAGGGGTACCATCATATTTTTTGGCCAAATTTTAAATTCATCAAAAAATTATCCAAATTTGACATGGATATTTATATTTGAATGAAAAGTATTTTTAAAAGTTTCATGTCAAATAGACTTGTCAGTAATGTATAAATTATAATTTTTTTAGTTTTGGCCTCGAGCTCTAGGGGTAACATCACATTTTTTGGCTTAATTTTAAATCTTCTAAAAATATGCCAAATTTGACATGGATATTTATATTTGCATGTAAAATCCTTTGTAAAAGTTTCATGTCAAAAAGCCTTGTCAGTATTGTCTAAATTTCAATTTTTTTAGTTTTGGCCTCGAGCTCTAGGGGTAACATCACATTTTTTGGCTAAATTTCATATCCATTAAAAAATTTGCCAAATTTGACATGGATATTTATATTTGCATGTAAAATCCTTTGTAAAAGTTTCATGTCAAAAAGACTTGTCTGTAATGTCTAAATTTCAATTTTTTTAGTTTTGGCCTCTAGTTCTAGGGGTACCATCATATTTTTTGGCCAAATTTTAATTTCATCAAAAAATTATCCAAAATTGACACGGATATTTATATTTGCATGTAAAATCCTTTACATAAGTTTCATGTCAAATAGACTTGTTAGTAATGTATAAATTGTTAGACAAGGCGTGCAACTCTAGAGGGGGGTGAGTAGAGTTGTTGAGAATGTTTACCGATTTTCACAGAATTAAATATATAAACGTAAGTGCAGCAGAAATAAAATAGAGAAGGTAAAGAACACACCGATGTATACTGGTTCACCACCTCGTGGCTAGTCCTGTTCCCCGAGAGACTCTCTCGAAGCTACCACTACTTCCGTTAAGCTTACGGGTGCTTAACAAACCGTTTACAACTCGAGAACTTGAGTCCCACAAGGCTCGTCACAACCGCTCGTAGATATGCCCTCTATAAGACTTTACAACCAAGTCTTAAGTCACATAAGTCTTGAACAACAAGAAGAACAATCTTCTTCAACCTCTCAACAATGGCTCTCAAAAGAGTAGAAATGAGAAATGATTAAAGCTCTAATGGATGACAAAACACTCTCTTGAAAACACTTAGTTTTCTCTCAAAATAATATAAATTTGAGGAAAGATTGATGGAGGATTAACACCTCAAGAATGGGGAGTATTGGAGTGTTTCTTGTTTTCAAAATGACCAAAGAAGAGTGTTTATATAGAGGAAAAAGAAATAAATCCGTTGGGAGTAGGAAAGGCTGATTTTGACAGATTGGAGCGTTGGGGATCGATCCAGGGCAAAGGATCGATCACCTGGAGTAAACTTCCGAAAATAGATTTCAATCAAAGCTTCGGGGGATCGATCCAAGGCAAAGGATCGATCCAAAGGAGTCAAAAATCTAGAAAAGAATTTTCGCAAGCCTTCGGCGGATCGATCCAGGGAGATGGATCGATCCCAATCCCTGAGCGCAAAACAATATGATCGATCCACAAGGAAGGATCGATCCAATGACGGGCATAGCCCAAACACGAGGACCCAAAGCATGTGTGCGAGTGGGATGGATATTTGGAGCTTAATGTATTGTTATAGACAACAATTTGAACATGATAAGGCTCCCATATACAAACAAATCAAATGGGTTGAAAAGAATTAATTCAAATTCAAAATTTGAATTAAATAAAGAATTTTTGGTGTAGAAATTGAGTCCCAAAAATATTTTGTGTGTCAAATGATGTACACGAAAAATATTTGAATAAAATATTTTTGCTTACCAAAAAATATTTTATATTATCAAAATAAATATTTGATAAATGTTTGGCACACCTTTTGTGACTGACTCAATAAAACTATTTTGAACAGTTAAAAGGATTTTTCCACTGACTCCAAAAATAAATATAATTTTTATTTTAACTCTCATAAAAATGATTTTGGAGAGAAGATATTTTTGTCATCCTTACGAATATTCTACGACTCAAATAAATAAAAAGTCTTCGGAAATCTTCTACTCCTCAGAGTCCTCCGCTAGGCGCTCCGAACGCGTCTCGGACTCCAATAAAATCATGTGCACCTTCTTGAATACTTCAAGGAATGGCACTTCAAGTCTTCGTGTTTGTCGTTGTAGCACTTTGATCTAGACTTGAATAAATTGTGTTTGTCAATTATCAAAACCTGTGAGTCAACACTTAACAACACAGAAAGGGTTGAACTCATGCATTCCAACAATTTTCCCCTTTTTGATAATGACAAACACATGGAGGATATGCTACCAACAAATAACAAATTAAGGCATATACTCCTATACTCTTCCCCCTTTTAGCATTATCAAAAATAATGCAACAAAAGAACTCATGCATTCCAGGGAGAGAAAAAAATTCTAAACAATTAAGAAAAATCACATTCCCCCTAGAATCATGCATTTCTAAAAAAAATACTTCCCCCTTAAAGTATGCTACCTCCCCTTAAAAAAAATTAAAGCATACAAAAAGATTAACACATATAGCAATAAATTCCCCCTTACTATATGCAAACCATCCTATGTATATTCCCCAAATAACAATTATCACAAATAAATCTCAAAAATAACATTTAATATAAAAAAATGTAATCACTCCCCTTTGATGCAATCTCTTTGGCTAAGTGCTTGGAGCATCCACTACAAAATTTGTAGTCTTCAAGCACGCCTTTCAAGTGCGTCACGTGCCCGACCACCCATCTTGTTCTTCAACACCGATGAGGGAATCGTCTTTGGAAGGTTGATCATAACTCCACGAAAAATACGCAAATTCATCTTGTTTGCTCATTTTCTTGAGCTTCGGGCACTCAAATTTACGGTGGCCAAGCTTTCTGCACGTGTGACACCTTAGGGTGTTTTTCCTCTTGCTCTTATTAAGCTCATGTTTCATAAACTCGTTAAAACATTCAACAAAAATATCACAAGAAGTGCTAGAATCACTATCACTGTCCGAATCCGAATCATCGATCTCTACTTTTTGAGAAGAAGATGCTTTAAAAGCAATTCCCGTTCTCTTCTTAACGTCAAGAGTATGAGAAAGATGATTTGTTTCGTAAGTGATAAGGTTACCTCGGAGACCGTCGTATGTGATAACGTTGTAATCTCGGCCTTCGTAGATGGAGTTAACCTTTGACTCCCATTCCTTGGTAAGACTTCGCAGGATTTTCCTCACTAACTCCTTGTCGGTGAGCGTCTTTCCAAGCATATCAAGGTCGTTGACGATGTTTGAAAATCTTCCAAACATGTCCTCCACAAGTTCGTTCTCTTTCATAGCAAATAACTCATATTCATGGGTTAGTAAATCAATTTTTGATTCACGAACTTGAGGCGTACCTTCGTATGTGATCATGAGCTTGTTCCACATTTGGTTGGCGGTTTGGCAATGAGATACCTTTTGATAATCGTTGGCATTGACAGCACAATACAAGAAGTTGATGGCGATATCATTTAATTGAGCCTTCTTAAAGTCGGCTTCATCATATTCATCCTCGTCCTTCGGGATGAGTGTATCGCCTATCTTCTTCATCGGCAAGCTATATCCATTCTTGATAGCAAGCCAAATTTTGAAGTTGTTTGATTGAACAAAAATTCTCATTCGCTCCTTCCAATAGGAGTAATTTGTTCCATCAAAAAATGGTGGCCTTACGGTGGATTGCCCTTCTCCTATCCCTGCGTTCAACATTCTCAAAAAAATTTGATCGTTTTCTCAAACGTCACAAAGAGCGTTAGAGATACCTGCTCTGATACCAATTGTTAGAAAAGGTGTGCAACTCTAGAGGGGGGGTGAATAGAGTTGTTGAGAATGTTTACCGATTTTCGCAGGATTAAATATATAAACGTAAGTGCAGCAGAAATAAAATAGAGAAGGCAAAGAACACACCGATGTATACTGCTTCACCACCTCGTGGCTAGTCCAGTTCCCTGAGAGACTCTCTCAAAGCTACCACTACTTCCGTTAAGCTTACGGGTGCTTAACAAACCGTTTACAACTCGAGAACTTGAGTCCCACAAGCCTCGTCACAACCGCTTGTAGATATGCCCTCTACAATACTTTACAACCAAGACTTAAGTCACATAAGTCTTGAACAACAAGAAAAAAATCTTCTTCAACCTCTCAACAATGGCTCTCAAAAGAGTAGAAATGAGAAATGATTAAAGCTCTAATGGATGACAAAACACTCTCTTGAAACACTTAGTTTTTTCTCAAAATAATATAAATTTGAGGAAAGATTGATGGAGGATTAACACCTCAAGAATGGGGAGTATTGGAGTGTTTCTTGTTTTCAAAATGACCAAAGAAGAGTGTTTATATAGAGGAAAAAGAAATAAATCCGTTGGAAGTAGGAAAGGCTGATTTTGACATATTGGAGCGTTGGGGATCGATCCAGGGCAAAGGATCGATCACCTGGAGTAAACTTCCGAAAATAGATTTCTGTCAAAGCTTCGGGGGATCGATCCAAGGCAAAGGATCGATCCAAAGGAGTCAAAAATCTAGAAAAGAATTTTCGCAAGCCTTCGGCGGATCGATCCAGGGAGATGGATCGATCCCAATCCCTGAGCGCAAAACAATATGATCGATCCACAAGGAAGGATCGATCCAATGACGGACATAGCCCAAACACGAGGACCCAAAGCATGTGTGCGAGTGGGATGGATATTTGGAGCTTAATGTATTGTTATAGACAACAATTTGAACATGATAAGGCTCCCATAAACAAACAAATCAAATGGGTTGAAAAGAATTAATTCAAATTCAAAATTTGAATTAAATAAAGAATTTTTGGTGTAGAAATTGAGTCCCAAAAATATTTTGTGTGTCAAACGATGTACACGAAAAATATTTGAATAAAATATTTTTGCTTACCAAAAAATATTTTATATTATCAAAATAAATATTTGATGAATGTTTGGCACACCTTTTGTGACTGACTCAATAAAACTATTTTGAACAGTTAAAAGGATTTTTCCACTGACTCCAAAAATAAATATAATTTTTATTTTAACTCTCATAAAAATGATTTTGGAGAGAAGATATTTTTGTCATCCTTACAAATATTCTACGACTCAAATAAATAAAAAGTCTTCGGAAATCTTCTACTCCTCAGAGTCCTCCGCTAGGCGCTCCGAACGCGTCTCGGACTCCAATAAAATCATGTGCACCTTCTTGAATACTTCAAGGAATGGCACTTCAAGTCTTCGTGTTTGTCGTTGTAGCACTTTGATCTAGACTTGAATAAATTGTGTTTGTCAAATATCAAAACCTGTGAGTCAACACTTAACAACACAGAAAGAGTTAAACTCATGCATTCCAACATAAATTATAATTTTTTTTAGTTTTGGCCTCGAGTTCTAGGGGTAACATCACATTTTTTGGCTAAATTTTAAATCCATTAAAAAATTTGCCAAATTTGACATGGATATTTATATTTGCATATAAAATCCTTTGTAAAAGTTTCATATCAAAAAGACTTGTCGGTAATGTCTAAATTTCAATTTTTTTAGTTTTGGCCTCGAGTTCTAGGGGTACCATCACATTTTTTGGCCAAATTTTAAATCCAATAAAAAATTTGTCAAATTTGACACGGATATTTATATTTGCATGTAAAATCCTTTGTAAAAGTTTCATGTCAAATAGACTTGTCAGTAATGTATAAATTATAATTTTTTTAGTTTTGGCCTCGAGCTCTAGGGGTAGGATCACATTTTTTGGCTAAATTTTAAATCCATTAAAAATTTGCCGAATTTGACATGGATATTTATATTTGCATGCAAAATCCTTTGTAAAAGTTTCATGTCAAAAAGACTTGTCAGTATTTTCTAAATTTAAATTTTTTTAGTTTTGGCCTCGAGCTCTAGGGGTACCATCCCATTTTTTTGGCCAAATTTTAAATTCATCAAAAAATTATCCAAAATTGACACGGATATTTATATTTGCATGTAAAATCATTTGTATAAGTTTCATGTCAAATAGACTTGTCAGTAATGTATAAATTATAATTTTTTAGTTTTGGCCTCGAGCTCTAGGGGTAACATCACATTTTTTGGCTAAATTTTAAATCCATTAAAAAATTTGCCAAATTTGACATGGATATTTATATTTGCATGTAAAATCCTTTGTAAAAGTTTCATGTCAAAAACACTTGTCAGTAATGTCTAAATTTCAATTTTTTTAGTTTTGGCCTCGAGCTCTTGGGGTACAATCACATTTTTTTGCCAAATTTTAAATTCATCAAAAAATTATCCAAATTTGACACAGATATTTATATTTACATGTAAAATCCTTTGTAAAAGTTTCATGTCAAAAAGACTTGTTAGGAATGTCTAAATTTTAATTTTTTTAGTTTTGGCCTCGAGCTCTAGAGGTACCATCACATTTTTTGGCCAAATTTTAAATTCATAAAAAAATTTACCAAATTTGACACAGATATTTATAATTGCATGTAAAATCCTTTGTAAAAGTTTCATGTCAAATAGACTTGTCAGTAATGTATAAATTATAATTTTTTTAGTTTTTGTCTCGAGCTCTAGGGGTAACATCACATTTTTTGGCTAAATTTTAAATCCATTAAAAATTTGCCAAATTTGACATGGATATTTATATTTGCATGTAAAATCCTTTGTAAAAGTTTCATGTCAAAAAGACTTGTCATTATTGTCTAAGTTTCAATTTTTTTAGTTTTGGCCTCGAACTCTAGGGGTACCATCACATTTTTTGGCCAAATTTTAAATTCATCAAAAAATTATCCAAATTTGACAGAGATATTTATATTTGCATGTAAAATCCTTTGTAAAAGTTTCATGTCGAATAGACTTGTTAGTAATGTATAAATTTCAATTTTTTTCGTTTTGGCTTAGAACTCTAGGGGTACCATCACATTTTTTGGCCAAATTTTAAATTCATCAAAAAATTTGCCAAATTTGACACGGATATTTATATTTGCATGTAGAATTCTTTGTAAAAGTTTCATATCAAATAGACTTGTCAGTAATGTAAAAATTATAATTTTTTTAGTTTTGGCCTTGAGCTCTAGGGGTACCATCACATTTTTTGGCTAAATTTAAAATTCTTCAAAAAATTATCCAAATTTGAGACGGATATTTATATTTGCATGTAAAATCCTTTTTAAAAGTTTCATGTCAAATAGACTTGTCAGTAATGTATAAATAATAATTTTTTTAGTTTTGGCCTCGAGATGTAGGGGTAACATCACATTTTTTGGCTAAATTTTAAATCCATTAAAAAATTTGCCAAATTTGACATGGAAATTTATATTTGCATGTAAAATCCTTTGTAAAAGTTTCATGTCAAAAAGATTTGTCAGAAATGTCTAAATTTCAATTTTTTTAGTTTTGGTCTCGAGTTCTAGGGGTACCATCACATTTTTTTGGCCAAATTTTAAATGCATCAAAAAATTATCCAAATTTGACACAGATATTTATAATTTCATGTAAAATCCTTTGTAAAAGTTTCATGTCGAATAGACTTGTCACTAATGTCTAAATTTTAATTTTTTTAGTTTTGGCCTCGAGCTCTAGGGGTACCATCACATTTTTTGGCCAAATTTTAAATTCATCAAAAAATTATCCAAATTTCACACGGATATTTATATTTGCATGTAAATGTTAGAATAATAGACCAACGCTAGAGGGGGGTGAATAGCGTTTGATCAAGAAATCGCAGGAATAAAAATGAATAAGTGAGAAGTAAAGAGAAAAGAAAGAGGCACACCGATTTTACCCTGGTTCACCACAACTTGTGGCTAATCCAGCCTCCCGAGAGACTCTCTCGAGCTACACTACTATCTCGTTAAGCTTAACGGTGCTTAACAAACCCGTACAACTTGAGA